CCTCATGGAGCAGGAGGCCGGTGCTCCGGTGGCCGACGCCTGCCTGCCGGACAACCAGGCCTCCGGCGATGCGGCGCCCTTGGGCATCGGCGCCGCTCACTGGGCTTACATCCGGCAGCAGCGCCGCCACCGGGCCACCTGCTCGACCACCACCTGCCCCACCTGGGCGGAGAAGAATGTGCGAGTGCTCTTTGTCGTGCAGCCCGGCGAGCGCAATACCATGGACCAGCGCCACATTGAGTACTCCTTGCGCGGTCTGCAGGCCGGGCAGTATGGCGATCGCATCGCCGCCTCCCCGGAGACCGGGGCCTTCATCGAGGGTCCGGTGTGGTCGATGCGCGCCTCGCTGGCGGACATCCATCGCGAAGGCACCATCGACCCGGCCACCGGGGCCCTGCTCTTGTATGTTGGCACCATCTGCCGCACCATCCCTCGCCACTTGCTTGCCCTCCTGTCGCCATGGGCCGGTGCTGACCGGCAATCTGGGCCTCTCTCTCTCACACACACACTCCCTCTCCCCGTGGGGTCGGGCATGGGCCTCGGCACACCGGGGCTCCCACAGCCGCGGCTTCGAGATCTCGGTGGTGTACTTCCGCGCGGGCTACTCGCCGAATGATTACCCCACCGAGGCGGAATGGGCCGCCCGGCGGCTGATGAACCGGTCGACCGCGGTCGAGTGCCCGGACCCGGCCTTCCACCTGGCCGGCTTGAAGAAGGCCCAGCAGGTGTGGTGCGAGGCCGGCGTGGTGGAGCGCCTGCTGGCCTCCTCCCGGTCGTATGTCCAGGCCGACGGGTCGCCGGATGTGGCGGCGGCCACGGCCGCTGCCCAGGCCCTGCGCCAGGTGTTTGCCCTGCAGCATGGCCTGGATTCGCCGGAGGCCACGGCCGCCCTGGAGCGCGACGCGGCCAAGTACGCCGCGGCCGAGTCCCTCTGTGACGACGGGCCTGGGGACTATGTGCTGAAGCCCCAGCGCGAGGGTGGCGGCAACAACGCCCACGGGGCCGGGGCCCGGACCACGGCCGCGAGCCTGCCCCCGTCCGAGAAGCCGGGCTGGATCCTGATGGAGAAGATCGCGGCCCCGCACCGGCCGAGCGTGTTCATGCGCCACTGCGAGGTTCTCCCGGTGTCCGAGACCATTTGCGAGCTGGGCATCTATGGCGTCATGCTGGTGTATGTGTCACCCTACCTTGCCTTTCTTCCCTCGGGTTTCATTTTGCCCTCCCCCGCCCGCAGGCGCTGACCTCCAACTCGCCCACTCCCCTGGCCGCCCCTCGCCCCTCCTCCTGCCGGACCAGTGACGAGTCCACCAACCAGGTGTTTGTCAACCGCCCGTCCGGGTACCTGGCCCGCACGAAGCCGGCCACCAGCGGCGAGGGCGGTGTGGCTTCCGGCTTCTCGTGCCTCGACAGTGTGGAGCTGATCTAGACGCCCGCCACAGGCACGTGTGTGTGCCTGTGCGTGCATGTGTGCCTTGCTGGCGCGGTGTGCGCTCCGCATCCGTACACACACACACACACACACACACGCAGGCACGCACGCAGGCACGCACACGTCAACTCACGGGGCCATGTTGCAGGGAGGGACGGGGCGCCTCGGGTGCGATGCGCCTCCCACTCTGTGTCCTATCCTCGGCCCCTCTTCCCTTCGCCCTCACTGTCGCGCATACGCTGGCACAGCAAATGAAGCCCGCCTATCTGCCTTAGTTCGGGTGGTGTATTCTGTTTGGAGGTTTTATGGGAGGGGGAGGGGGGGGGATTTTTTGCGGAAGAGAGTGCTGCTCGGAAAAATGGCCAACGTGCACGCATGGGCCGCCGGACGCCGGCCCCGGCGAGGGCAGGGGAGGGGGCAACCGGCCTCGGGGATATGGCACAAGGCAGGGCGCACTGCCCAACCCATGCGAGGCACATGCGCATGCAGCCGGGCGCCTACTTCTTCGACCCCTTGGCGCCCTTCTTCTTGGAGCCCGGGGTGGCCGGAGCCGGAGCCGGAGCCGGCGCGGCAGTGGGGTCGGCCGGGGACGTCGGCACAGCAGCCGCAGAGACCGGGGCCTCGGCGGCCGGGGCGCCGGGGGCCTTGGGGGCAGCGGCCTTGGAGCTAGTGGCCTGGTCGTCGGCCACCTTGCCACCAGTGGCTGGGGCATCATGGACAGGCGTGGTGTCAACCACCAGGGGGGAGCCGGGGGCGGATGGCGCACCGGGCTCCTGGCCGCCAGCAGATGGGAGGCTCGGCGAGGCGGGCTGGCTGGATGTCGGGGTCACCAGGCCGGAGGGAGGGGGGGCCGCGTCGAGGGCCGCCTGCAGGATCTCCGCCGGGATCCGAGACAGCAGGCTTTCCATGTACACGCGCATGTTGTTGATTTCGCCGTTCCGCTGCTGCAGGACCGACCGGAGCTCGCGATTTTCGGACCGCAGGAAGACCACCTCCCGGTTTTGATCCACATGCGACTCGCCGGTGGCGTAATTCATCAGGCGATCAAGCAGGGACGGAGAGGTGGGGCCCATGGCCGAGGGGGAGCCCGGCGCCGCAACGCCGGGAGAGGTGGGCGACCGCTGAGCCTGCTGCGGCTGGGCCTGCTGCTGGACGAGGTGCCGCTGCAACAGCTGCTGCTGCTGCTGCTGTGATTGCGGCTGCGGGTGCGACCGCGGCTGCGATTGTGGTTGCGGCTGCGGCTGCGGTTGCGGCCGCGGCTGCGGCTGCGGCTGTGATTGGGGCTGCACCTGGGATGGGCGAGCCATCCCCGGCGTGGGTGCCATTGGCACGGGCTGGGGCATGCCGCCTGCCATTTTACGGGCGGTTCTCTCGGCGGTTAGCGATGGTCGGCGACGGCGGGAGGGCGGACGAGCACACTCCCATTCCCCAAGCACCGAGACGGGGGCCGGGGAAAGCGCACCATTCGAAGCGATGAGCGGCTGCACGGGGACCTGGTGGGCGGCCTGCCCGGCAGCCGGTGCCCGGCGGGAAACGGCCTGCGACCCGGCGCCCGGGGTCTGGACGGCCGAAGACTGGGCAACGGAAGGGCCGGACGCCTTGGGCCCGGCGACCGGGCCAGTGGACTCGGCTGTCGATCCGAGGAACGCCGGGAGGCTGATGTCGGCTGCCTGGACGCGAGAGATGATCTCCTTCATATCGTTGTAGGAGAGGACCGACCGGGCATCATCGATCTGGCACAACAGAGGGCCGTGTGGTGACGAGAGGGCGAGCGGGGGGGGGGGGGGGGGGGAGGGAGGTAGATCTGGGCACGGGATCTTCGCGAGATTGAGC